CTTACAAAGCCGTAGAATTCTCTTCTTTTCCATTTCCCATCAGGCAAACTATCAGACAGGAAGAGGAGTGCCCCAATTTTTCCGGGGGGGTGGAGCTGCCCTTGGAAACGAAAAAAGGGTAAAAGGGTAAAACTGAGCCGGCTTTCCCCATTTTTTCTATCCCGGGCCCGCCTAGATTTTTTTTTTATGGCGCACACCCACGGCGAAAAACCCATTCCCTCATATGTGGGCCCTATGAGCGTTTTTGCGCAAAAATTTGCCGGCGCTAAAATTTTTTGGCGTAGTTCAAGGGTTTTTGGAAAACCCCCGACCTGCCGTAGATCTACGGGACGGACCCTGAAAGGGTTAATGTTTAAACTTTTCCCTTTCCCCCCCTTCCCCCCCCCCCCCAAAAAAAAAAATAATTATGATTCATATAGGGAAATTTAAAAATTTTTACCCTTTTTGGGCCTTAACAATAGCAGTTTTTATCAGTCAAATAAAATAAAATCAAATCTTTATTTCCACAATTCAGCCCGGGAATTACAGCTTTTTTGTAGATTCTAAAAAAAACCCCTGTTATGCAAATTATTTTGGGGCAGGCAAACTAGTTTCCCCCTAACTTACAAACTACTTTTTTACTACAGGTATGTTCAAAAGGAGATAGCATGTTTGTTTTATTTTGACAATCCCGCATGGGAAAACTTTCTTGGGTTGGGGAGTTGGGGAAAAAGCAGTATAAAATGCCAAAAGGGCAAATTTGCATGATCTATATCTAGTTTTTCATATACAGTGGGTCCCCGCCTTATGAACGATCACATTACGTAAAACCCCCAAACGAAAACTTTTTAACACAAAAATTTTTTTCCTCGCCTTACGTGGGTTCGGGCCCCGGGCGCGGGCCCCGTGGGCCTCTGCGCCCGTTTTTTCAAACCGCCAGCCGTAGTCGCATTACACATTTCATTTGGTTTCATTTTTACATTATCCCCCGTGTTTTTTGTGCTTGTAATGCAAAAAAAAGTCACCCGGGGCCCCCAAAAAAGCTTCTAGTGCCAACCCGTGGTTTAAAAAGGGGAAGAATTTTGTTTTGGAAATTTAAAAAAAAGGGTTAAGGAAATGGTGCAAAATGGGTTGGGAAATGCAAAACCCTTTTCAGATGAAAAACACCCTGGGGACAGCTACTGCAAGCCCTGTTGGCAGCCTGTGCAAAAGACAATGTTTTTGCCCTTTTAGGAAAGTCTTAAAAGGAAAGGGTTTTCAGAGCTCTATGGGGCAGACTTGGGTTTTGCAACAGAGGTCCCCGGGGCTCTCAAATTTGGGCCTAGCGGCATTTTAAAAAAAAAGGGGAAATAACCCCCCGGGAAAAAGGGCTTGTACCTCAAGTCCCCAATGGGGGGGGATTTCCCCTTTTAAACAATAACTTCTACACTCTCCCCTCCTCCCATCCAACAAACAAACCCCCAGATCTTCAATAAAGGGAAGTGTCCTGTATTCTGTTTTTTTGTTTGAGTATAATTGTCCCTGTCTTTTTCATTTGTGTGTATTAAAAATTTAAAATTTTTGTGGGTTTAAATTTTTTTTTTTTTTATGCTTTGGGTTTTTCGGAAAAATTAATTTGATTTCCATTATTTCTTAAAGGGGGAAAAATTTAAATTTGGCTAACGATAATTTTTGGGTTACGATGACTCTCAGGAATAGATTAACCCTTTCAGGGGGCCCCCAAAGGCCCAAAAACTGAAAGGGGGGCCCGGGGTCCCAAAAAATTTTGAAAAAAAAAAAATTTTTTTTTCTTACAGAATTAACCCTTTAAACGGGCCAAACGTATATATTAAAGTTTTTTTAAAAATCTGAAAGTAATTAAAAAAAAAGTAGAAACTTTTTTGTTTTACATTTGAAAAAGTGTAAAAAAAAATTTTATTTTAAAAAATTTTTTTTTTTTGTTTTATTTTAAAATATGTAAAAAAAAGTAGATTACTTTTGTAGCACTACGATTTGAACGTGATCTGTTTGTACCGTTTAAAAGGGTTTAAAGATAAAATTTTTGTGAAGGTAATTTAAAAAAAAACTGATCAGTACCCTTTCCGAGATCAGCGGCAGGAAAATAAAACCCAAAATACGGGTGGCAGCAACATCCCCGCGACTTCCACAAAAAATTGCATTTTTTTATTTTATTTTTTACTTTTTTTTTTTTCTTTTTTTAATTTTTTTTCTTTTTCCCCGTAACAATTTTTTGGCCTGAAACCCAAAATAATGTATTTTGTATAATGTACACTCTTTTTTATTCAAAAACAGTAAATGCAAATTTGTTTATCTTTAAAATTGCTTACAAAAAATTTTTTCAATTTTTTTGTTTAAAAAAAATTTATGAAAAATTAGTGGGTTATTGTGTTGAATACAATGGAAACCCAATTTGTACCATATGGTACAAAGTGCCATAGGGGGCAATGGGACCATTTGGACAATGGCACCATATGATACAAAGGTTCCGTATGGTAGGGAAAATGGTCAATGGCACCATTTGGTACAATGGTTTCCTATGATACAATAGTAAAAAATTTTATGGTGCAATGGTACCATGGTGTGCAATGGACCATATGGTTTCAATGTACCCCCTATTTACAAAGATTTTTAAAGGTTGGTTTATTGTCCATGGGACAATGGTACCATATGGTCAAAAAAACCATATTTGGGACAACAGTACCATATGGTACATTTTAAAAACCTATGGGGACTGTTGTATTCCACCCTTAAAAAACAAATATTTTTATCATTATTTCGTTTACAATTTAAATTTTTTACAAAAAAAATATGCAAAAAAGTTGTATTTTAAATAAAATTTTTATTATATATTTACAAAAAAAAAAACAGCCAACGACATGTTACTTGAGGTAGTGACCAAAACACCCTTTTTCCCTTGGGAAAATGCAAAAGGGCACTAGCTGCTTGCCCCTTTTTCACTCAGTCTTGGCTTGTGCCTTGGGGGCCCTCAGCACCTACTGACCATAAGGTAAATGGGATCTTTTGTTACAGGGGGCCATATGGTACAGTTACTATAAAGGTATAAAAGGGACCAAAATGGTACAGGGGACCAAATGGTGCAGGGACCATATGGTGGGAGGGGACCATATGGTGCAGGGTAAACCCTATGGTGCAGGTACCATATGGGGCCCCCGGGACCTTATGGTACAGGACACCCTATGGTAAGGCCCCCATATGGGGAAAAGTACAGGGTTTCCCTATGGGAAAAAATTTTACCCTGACTTTTTTTGGGGTTTTCCTAGGGTTTTTTACAAAATGCTGCCCAAAGTATGATAATCTATGTAACTGTATTTTTTGTACCCTGAATTAAAAATTTCTTTAAGCACATGGGCATTGTAATTTATTTAGGTAAAACAAAATAAAGTTACATAGAAAAATTTTTATACGAGCAGCGTTTTGTTTTGGGGAACCTAGGATAAACCCAAAAAAAGTCCCCCCCCCCCCCCCCCACCCCTTTTTTTCCATTGGTTCCCCCTTGGTAAAACCCTTTACCAAGTGGTTTCAATGTACCCTATGGTTTTAATGTAAACCAAATTTGGTTTCAATGTCTTTATGGTAATTGTACCATTGGGGAAACCAAAATGTACATTTGGGATGACATGGGACCCTTGTACCATATTGGGGCCATTTTTACCATTTTGGTACAATGGTACCATTGGCTCAAAAAACCCTAAATTCCTCTTTAGATCCCCCTTCCCCCCCGTTTTTAGAAAATGTAATTTTTGAAGGGAAGTCAGAATTCCCCAGGAGAGTGAGAGCTGCCTTGCCGCCAGGCATGACGAACAAAGCTACTTTGGCGGCATTCCCACAATGCCATGCAGGCGTCCAGATTTTTTCTATAGTGTGCACACTGACCACTCAGACCCATTCTTTCAGATGTAGGCCTACCAGCCTTCTTGTGCTAAACTTGATGCCGCTAGAATTCTGGCGTAAATCTACGGTTTGGACCCTCAACATAAAGCCGTAGATCTACGGCACAGACCCTGAAAGGGCTAATATCATAAGGCGGGGGTCCTCTGTATTCAGTTAAGATTTTTTTTTTACTAGTTTTGAAGTTATTGGAAGTTTTTTCATTCTTCAGGCAAGTCCAAATTTTGGGTCCTATGATTTGCATGGAATGTTTACTCAGGCAAAGTCATACAAGCAGAATATCAGATATGTACATATTTATCTCTAGTGCTACGTCTATGTGATCTGTTGCACCTTTAGGAATTGTTTAAGCTCAGAGTTAATATTGTATCGAATGCTGTGTACTTGTCATGCAGTGGAAAGAATGTCCACTATTTTGGAAACTTACTTTCTTATGTGCTGGATGTTTTTTAAATTTAAGTTTGCTGTCAAGGCAAACGCCCAAGGATTTTTGCCACATCTGCTTTTTCAACCTGTTATTTATATTTAAGTTTAGCTGAACATTTTTTGCTTTGTTTCCAAACATTATGTAGTTTGCCTTTATCAATATTGAGTGTTAATTTGTCACCATATATACCAATACCTTTTTCTAGTTTAATACTGGCTATGTCATTAAGGTCAACTGGGTTTGGACTGGAGACAATGAAAGTAGCATCATTGACAAATAAACCTGTTAAAGTTAGCAAGATGTGTTCAGTAGTCATGAGGAATTACAGTGGTACCTCGGGATATGAACAGCTCAAAACTCGAACAATTATGTGAGTGTATTTATATAAGTGCTTTTGTAAGTGTATTTTTGGGGGTCTGAAATGGATTAATCTACTTTACATTATTCCCTGTGGGAACAAATTCATTCGGTATCGGCACTTGAACAGCCTTCTGGAACGAAATAATTTCGTATCCTGAGGTACCACTGTAATTTAATTAACAGAATCAAACTTTTCCACTATATTCTCTACCACAATATCCACCAGTAACTGTATTTTATAACCTGTATGCTGCTGTTTTAGAAAAGGAAAAGATACAATATCTGCAATAAAATATTAATGAAAAGAATTTGGGTAAGTTAGGATAGTGTAGTGCTGTGTAAACATTTTATTTGTCTTTAATGGTTATCACAAGTTAGAATATCACTTGGTACCTACTTGGTCACCACTTTTGAATACAGTATGATACTGTAATAATCTTTCTTATCATTCACTAGCAAGGTTACTACTGCTGCTTAATTACTTTAGTGCATCAACTTTATTAGTGTTTGATTAGTTTGATCATCAGCTTTGACCAAGGATGTCTACTGGAATTTTTCCAGTGGGAGACAAGGGTTTCAAGAAAAAGTAAACCTTGGTTAAAAGCAAACCATTCATGTGGTTGTTTTCCTTGATGTAGGTCAGATCCAAGGTAAAAAAAAAAAAAAAAAAAAAAAACTTTTCATAGCAGATGTCTATGGTTTAAATATATCATTAGTTTTGCTTCATAATTAAGCAGATTTAGAAATAGCATGCATCACATTGTAAATCTATAATTTCATATATTTTAGGTATTAGCAAGTTTCTGGGATGTTTCAGCATTATGCAAAATATGAACACACACAATTACAGCAACAAAAAAAATATATTTACTATATAATATTCTAATACAATGATTTTCTCTAATATTTTTTACTGAAAAAATATTTATACAGTATTATTAGTCATTAATTTATCAATACTTCAATACAGTTTTAGCTGAATGCAAAGATTAATACTGTATTGTATTCAAAAAATTTTATCATTACTGTATTGCTGAATACAGAAGCTGCTTGTATGAGGAAGCAATAATGCCAACCCAGTTGCTGAGCAGCTACGCAGAACTACTTCCCCCCAATTATATAATGGTACAATTAAACACTTTTGTCTCCTACAAGATCCTTTATCAATCTTTTTAGTTTATTTAGATCTTTACAAAGAACAGTATTACAGTAGTCTGTATATTATCATAGCTTATTTATTAAAAATTTGTAACGCCAGTATGCCAATAATGATGCATGCGCGTTTCTAGTTCCAAGGAATCTAATGCAGGCCGTTCTTGCATTTCGGCGGCCAAATCAGGCTGTACCAAAGGGTAGTGTGGTGGCCTGGGCCGATTTTCTTGATAATATTTTAAGTTTTGCAGACTTCCAAATCTATGAAAATTACTATGATTTTTAGAACCTGGGCTTCTGAATCTCTGAAGAGTGCTGAATTTGTTGGTTGTAGCACTTAGTTTGCTCTGAATCAAGCGAAAGGTACCTCTTCCTAGACACGATTTGCGCACATTATTTCGTTGGAAATAACCACTTGGTTCTATTTCAGCAGATGCAGCCAAAACCAAGTCAGGTGCAGAAGCTGTAGGCATGGGACTGGATTGAGAATTAGATCGTTTCAAGGTATCTAACTCGCGCATGAATAACAATTTTGCATTACGGGCTAGGAGATATTCCCAGCTACGGAACTGTTCCTCATTTACCTGTAAAGACAGTACAGTACAGATTATTGGTAAGTACTAGAAAAAAATAAGTTGAATGATCAATTATAACAGACAAGAAAAAGGGGGTTTCTAATGAAATAAATTATGATTGTTTAGAAAAAGTACAGTAGCCTATGCAAAAAAAAAAACTCCCACGAGGCAGAGTGATCTGAAAGAAAAACGCTTTTATCATCCTTCAATCACTCTTGCCAGGTGACAGCAGACATCACAGTTCTAATTGCCCTCCAAACTGCAACATTTCCCACCCCTCCTTCAGAGGAAAATACTATTGTTGAGGATAGTGTTTTTTAATCAGTTAATAAAATGGAAGAGATATTACTGAAACAGAAATGATTCTGGTTGGTTTAAGAACAAAGAACCAGATTTTACAGTGAATAAGAGGCCAAGGTGTTCTGGTGTTGAGAATGGCCCTTTCCTTCCCCCCTCCCCCCCCCCCCCCAAGTCTGACTGGCTAAATTTTGGAGAAGAAAAAAAAAACATCTATGGTAATAACAGTAATAGTTGTGTTAAGGCTGAGGCATTACATATAAAAATGTGTTGACAGTTCATTCTGTGGTTATTTATCACTGACCTAGTTGACTGGAAGGTTTGTTAGTCAACTGCGTCAGCTAAAACATGCTACGTTTACATAAAAAGTGTAAGAAATGCACCAGTGATTATCCTATTTATTTATTTCTTTATTTATTTAATGATTTGAACCTAGATTGCTAAATCCCAATCCTAAATTTAAAAGGTTCTTACATCCAGAATTGTCAGCAAAATGTTCTTTGCAGTTAACTTAAATGGTCAACTCCTCGTAATGAACAACATCCAGAAATGAACAAAGAGATGTTTCCCTCTGTACATCATCGCTTAAGTTTTCAAATTAGTAAGTTTACTCAGGTACAGGTACACACAAATATAGTTATACAAATTATCATACATAGTAATGTGTGTAAATGACCTAGGATAACCCCCCAAAAAAGTCAGACAAGTGACATTTTCATTGGGATCCTTGATTCCATTGTTCGTTTTAATCTACTGAATGGTTCTTCAGTTTTCTTATGTTTGGCAGTATTTTTGTGACTTTCAGTGTAACTAATTTAGCTGAAATTGAACATTTGCAGAACTATCACTCATACAAATCTCACATAATATGTGAACTTGACCTGACTGGCCATGTACTCTTTCTACTCACTGTCTCAATAAGTCCAAATGGATGTGTGCATGTCTAGGACTGCATACTGATTTGTGATGGGTTTTTTCCATGCATTTTTAAAAATATTTTGTTTTATGTTTTTAATTTTATTGATTTTACTATTTAATAAGAGTAAATTTGTACTGCAACATGACCAAAACAACCCTATGGTGTGCAAATGACTGTTTTTGTGTATAACTACCATATACTACCTTGTACACTTAACGGTAATATTTACACATCAGTGATTTCACCCAATTTATGCCCTATTTTTGGCCCATTCCATTCTTCCAGTCTACCAAACTCGTACCTATTTTTCTAGTATTCCTTCTATTCTATCAAATGAGTACAAGAAACCACCCATTCACTTATTTCAACTACTCAATAAAGTGGTCTGAAATTGATAATTTGGCCAATTTCACACAAATTTCAAAAGATGCCAATTTCAAAACAGGGTCCAGAATAAATAAAATGCAGACATTCCTAGCACTAAAATAACATTTTCTCTGTTCATTAGTCATATCTCCAGGCCCCTCTTATATTATGCTTGCTTTACATTTTGAATTTTTATTCACACAAAAAAATAGATTTACTGTTATGCAGACTAATGTAATACGTACAGTCAAACCTCGGTTTTCGTATGCCCTAGTTTGTATGTAAAACTATAATTATTCTCTATAAAATGTATTTTTGGTTAATATTTTTAGGGGTCTGGAATGAATTAGTTGGATTTACATTATGTATTTCTTATGGGAAATATTGCTGCGGTTTTCGATGATTCGGGTTTTCGTCACTTTTTCAAATGTATTAATCATAAATAACAAAAAAGCCACAATACCGTGACTGGAACAATACACAAATAACCCGCACATAAAAGAGAGAAGCTTACGACGATGTTTCGGTCCGACTTGGATATTAATCATGAAAACCGAGGTTTCACTGTAATTGTATAAATAATGTCAACCCATAGGTGACTGTGTATTAGACCAGCCAGTTGGACACGTATTGGGCGGGAACGTCATTTGTTTACTCTTGAACATCTGCAAAAATTGAACATTTCCACTACTTTGAGCTCAATTTTAAAGTACTTTCCAGCATGAAACCAATCAAAATTATATATATTTCTGTAACATATCTTCCATTCCATCAAAAGAGACCAAAAAACGAAAATACAACCATACAAAAATACACCGCAGTCTGGTTTACACCATAAAAACGGTCGCAGTTTTTTTCTCATGCACTGTGTGCTGCAGGATTTTTATTATATAGTGCACACTTATCACAGACTTATTCTCTCGTATGTAAGCCCAAATTTACCGGTCACAACTTATTTGAGTGAGCTGAGCTCATGGTGACCGACAGTGGCTTCAAAGCCACTTTATCTTGTATGGACAATGTAAGGTGTATGTGCTTTACACAATGAGAAGCATTTCTTTTATATGGTGGAACCATGGCTAGGGCTAAAAGTGAACAAGTTATAACAATAAATGGAGAAAAAGAAATTGGAATGACTTATGCAGCAAGCAGTGTCACCAAACAGTAGCAGCAGGTTCGTGTGGCAACCCTGGAAATTTGAAATTATGCTAGCCGTAGCTAGTGCCAGATTAGTGATGGCCAATTTGTACTTTTTTTTTTATGCTGTGTATTTTAGCATAAATGACTTGCTTTATTCAATGCCTAAGCATATACTGTAATGCAGCACTCATTTTCAGATTCACACTGTTGTAAAAAAAAAAAATTAGTCTTGCAGGTATATGGTTTTGTCAGTAAATAATAACTATTATTATAAAATCAAGCATTAAACCCAAAAGTGTCATACAGCTGTCAGTATTATAAATAATGAATACTCTAGAAACTAAAACTTTAATAGTCATTTAACTTACAATTTATGTTATACTCAACATATAAATGATTATTGTATGGAGGTTTTTCTTACCTGCTCAGAGCCATTGTCTACTACATCATCACCTGATTTTGTATGATTTTGTAGGCTTGTATGATGTTGTCCACCACTGACGCCACTCAGGCCACTGTCACTACCTTCTGAGTCACTGTCAGTATCATCAAAGCCTGCAGGAGGGGCAAGCACACCTGTATGAGTGTCACTTAGCCCCATAAAAAAATGATCTTCCAGATGGTTCTCTAAAGGTGCTTGTGCTGGGTCTGGGCGAGGGTAGTGGTAATATGCGATTGCTCTCCTTGTATTATCATTTGTATAAACTGCTTTTGAACCTGCTTCACATTTTTTCCCTTTCTCCTTTTTTCTTCTGTTAGGATGGGCATAAAGATCTTCTACACTTTTCCATAACTTTTCTTTAGATTTACCATGCATATGCAACTCATTTGTTATAGACCCAACATGTTTCTGAATATCTACACCATGTTCACTATAATCACTTTGACTTTGACCACTAGGAGAAGACCTGTCCATTTCTTGATGTCTTTGAGTTACATCAGAACTTTGTTGATTTTTGCTTTGCAATCCTACTTGTATGAAATTACTTTTCTTAGCTTCGTTATTTAATATGTGGTAGGAATTTACCATGAAGTCAGTACACTTATTTGACTTTTTTCTTTGGTCATTTTTAATACAGAGATTATGATCCTCTACAGTGCCAACACCCCTTTCATATTTCACTCTTCGGTTATTTTCAGTTTGCTCTCTCCCGGTCACTGGCAAGTCTCTCTCAAAGATTTCTCTTTCTAAACCTACAGAACTTTCATGAACACTTGATGAATTCATATTTACTGATTTGGATTTCATATGCAATAAATCAGGAACAGGTGACTGACTTGTAGTCATGTGTTGTGGAGATGTAAGGCGCACTACAATAACACTTATGTCTTGGCGAGTGCCATAAGCTTGGGCGAGGTCCAAGAGACGCTTAGCAGCTGATCCTGCCTCCCTTATTTCACTGCAGATACTGACTGCTTCTTTTGGTCCTAATACATCCCACAAACTGAAATTAATAAATTAAGGGTCATTTTAAACTGAAATCAAATTGCATACATATACAGTACAGTAACTCAAAATTTTGAAATATGGAAAAGCTTTGTTGAAGGTTCCTGTATGACTCAAAGGTTTAGTATAATAATAAAGCAAAGGGTTCTATTAACCGTGAGTAACTGCAACTTGTCTAATTTTTTTTTTTCAACAAACCAACTAAATCCCACAGGCAGGATGACCTAAAAAGAAAAATGAAAGTTACTCATTTTAAATTTAGTAATTTATACCTCTTCAAGGGGAGGCTCCTTGGCGTGGTGAAGAGGCTCTTGGTCTGAGGAATTAGACCTGTTGGTCTCCTTCCTCAGACCGAACCTAATTACCCCCCAATCCCCCCTTCCCTATCCCATCCTCCCTTTTTCCTTTCCTCCTCCTTCCCCCCGTCCCTCCCTTATTCCCTTCCTCTTTTTGGCCTTTGGGATTCTTCCCACAGGCCTACTGGTTCCTAGGTAGGGAGAAGGGTACCAGGGTCAATCCCATTCTGTTGAGGTTCTTGGTGGTGGTGTAGTTTGCCGTGGAATCTGGATCACCTGGGGATATCCCGTTCCCTCTCCGGTATTCTGGGGGGCGGCTTTGGGTGTCTTTCGAGCGACGTGTGGATCTCTGGAGGCTGCCTTTTGGATTTCGGGGGTGGTGGCCAAAGGAGGTATGCTTTGTGGCGGATATCCGGCCGCCCTCTCTTTTGTCCACCAAGGTAGCTCGGCAGATGTAAGGTTGCTATCCTGGATTGCTGGTTTACTGGCATGAAGGGTAGGGTATGGCATGGGTTCCATGCCGCATCTGCACTACTTGTGGTGTTGAGGTCCTCTTGGGCGCGGAGGGTGATTTCCAGCCCTTTCATTCCTCCTAGGAACTATTCCTTCCCATTCCCCCTTTTTCTTTTTTTCTTTTTACTTTCTTTTCTTCTTTTTTTTTCTTAAAAACAAAAAGAAAGAAGTAACCTAACCATGGAAGCTCCTCGGGCATTTTCTATCCCAGATTTTGCCTTTCTTGTTTCATCCTTACCACCACCACTTCTGTTACTTGGCGATTTTAATGCCCACCATTTCCTCTGGGAGGGGTCTCATTGTGACTCACGTGGCATTCAGTTGGAGGCTTTTCTCGCCTCTCACCCCCTCCTTGTTTTAAATACGGGTACTCCCACCCATTTTGATCCTCGTACTCATACTCTCTCTTGCATCGATCTATCGGTCTGCTCTTCCTCCACTCCACTAGACTTCGCCTGGTCTGTTCTACCGGACTTACATGACAGCGATCATTTTCCAATCATTCTTACTTCTCCTTCATATTCACCACCTTTCTGTAGCCTTCGCTGGCAATTTGATCGGGCAAATTGGGACCTTTACTCACAACTCACTGCTGTTAGTAAGGTTCCTTCTTCATCCTCCATTGATGAGCTCCTACACCTCTTCTCGACATCAGTTTTAACTGCAGCTTCTCATTTTATACCCCAAACCTCAGGCAGGCATTCTCAGAAGTGCGTGCCTTGGTGGTCTGCTTGTGCTCGTGCAGTACATTTGAAACGCACTGCATGGGGCAGGTACCAGTACAATAGAACCGATGAGAGACTTCTTGATTTTAAGCAGAAGCGTGCGGTCACTCACCGTGTCATCTGTGACGCTAAACGCACTTGCTGGCGAGATTATGTTTCCACCATCACCTCTGCTTCCTCTATGAGTGCAGTCTGGAAAAAAGTGAGGAAATTGAGTGGTAAATACTCTCCTGACCCAGCTCCTGTTCTACGGGTTGCCGGTGTTGATATAGCAAACCCTCTTGACGTTGCCATTGAAATTGGCACTCATCTGGTCCATATTTCCAGGGGGCTCCATCTATGCCCCTTGTTTCTTTCCTCAAAGTCTGCCAGAGAGTTAGTACCCTTGGACTTTTCTTCTCTCAGAGAAGAACAGTATAATGTGCCTTTTACACTTCAGGAACTGGAGGCAACACTCTCAGCTTGCCGATCATCGGCAGCTGGGCCTGATGACAGTCATATTCGGATGTTACAACATTTACATTAGTCAGCCCTTACAGTCCTCTTACATCTCTTCAATCTTATTTGGTCACAAGGAGTTCTACCCCAGCTGTGGAAATCTGCCATTGTTCTCCCTTTCCGCAAGCCGGGTACTACAGGACATGATGCCTCTCACTATCGTCCCATTGCTCTTACTAGTGCAGTTTGCAAAGTGATGGAAAGTCTGGTAAATCGACGTTTAGTGTGGTATTTAGAGACACACAACAGTCTCTCCACTAGTCAATATGGCTTTCATAAGGGCCGATCTACCATAGACCCCTTACTACGCTTGGATACGTATGTTCGTAATGCCTTTGCGAATAACCACTCAGTTATTGCCATATTTTTTGACCTTGAGAAGGCATATGACACAACTTGGAGGTATAATATTTTGGCCCAAGCCCACTCCTTAGGCCTCCGAGGCAATCTACCATTCTTCCTTAAGAACTTTTTAACTGACAGACATTTCCGTGTTTGAGTTAACAATGTGCTTTCCCCGGATTTTGTCCAAGCTGAAGGTGTCCCTCAGGGATGTGTTCTGAGCACAACACTTTTTCTCCTTGCTATAAATGATTTGGCCTCTGTTCTTCCATCCAATATTTGGTCATCACTCTATGTTGATGACTTCGCTATTGCTTGTGGAGGCGCTGACTGTCACCTCATTACAGTTTCTCTCCAGCATGCGATCGACCGTGTTTCCAATTGGGCCACCACGCATGGGTTTAAATTTTCCAGTACCAAAACTCACCAAATTACTTTCACTAGACGCTCTGTCATCTCCAATCATCCTTTGTACCTCTATGGCTCCCATATCCCTGAATGTGATACAGTCAGGTTTCTAGGCCTTCTCTTTGACCGTAGGTTATCCTGGAAACCTCACATTACCTCTCTGAAGGCAACTTGTCACAGCTGGCTGAACCTTCTTAAAACCCTTGCTCATCTTTCATGGGGAGCTGATCGTCAAACTCTCCTTCGCCTACATTCAGCCCTCATTTTATCGAAACTCGATTATGGTGACCAGATCTATTCAGCGGCCTCTCCTGCTACTCTCTCTAGCCTTAACCCCATCCATCACCAAGGATTACGTTTATGCCTTGGTGCTTTTCGCTCTTCCCCTGTTGAGAGCCTCTATGCAGAAGCGAATGTTCCATCCTTGTCTGATCGCCGTGATGCCCATTGCCTTCGCTACTATGTATGCTTTCACGATCTCCACAATCCTTCCATTTATAGAATGGTCACCGACATTAGTAGACATTATTTATTCGCCGCCCTTGTTTGCTCTGTCCCTTCTCACTTCGCCTACATTTGATCTTGTCTTCCCTTCAGTTACCACCTTTATATGTTCATATAGCATCTCACTTTTCCTTACCCCCCTGGGAAGTTCCAGCTGTTCAGGTCTGTTCTTTCTCACTCCCTTGCTCGAAAACCCTACTGCCTACAGTGGCTTCCCGCTCTCTTTTTCTTGACCACTTCCACTCTCATTCTCATACCATTGCAGAGTACACAGGTGGCTCTAAGTCTTCTGACGGCATCGGATTCGCAGCAGTGTTTCTGGACAGCGTCGTGCGGGTGGGTTGATTGCATTTTCTTGGACTGCAAGAAGGCCTTCGACACAGTTCCTCACAAGAGATTAGTACAGAAGCTAGAGGAACAGGCGTGTATAACAGGAAGGGCGCTGCAATGGATCAGAGAATACCTAATAGGGAGGCAACAGCGAGTCATGGTCCGTGATGAGGTATCACAGTGGGCTCCGGTGACGAGCAGGGTCCCACAGGGGTCAGTCCTGGGACCAGTGCTATTCTTGGTATGTGTGAACAGCATGACGGAAGGGATAGACTCAGAAGTGTCCCTGTTTGTAGATGATGTGATGTTAATGAGGAGAATTAAATCAGACGTGGACCAGACAGGTCTACAAAGAGACCTGGACAGGCTGGATGTGTGGTCCAGCAACTGGCTCCTAGAATTTAACCCCGCCAAATGCAAAGTCATGAAGATTGAAGGAGGGCAAAGAAGACCGCAGACAGAGTATAGGCTAGGAGGCCAAAGGCTGCAAACCTCCCTCAAGGAGAAAGACCTAGGAGTGAGTATAATACCGAGTACATCGCCAGAAGCTCACATTAACCAGCTAACTGCTGCGGCATATGGGTGCTTGGCAAACCTGAGAACAGCATTCCAGCACCTCTGTAAGGAATCGTTCAAGACTTTATACACTGTGTACGTCAGGCCCCTACTGGAGTACGCAGCTCCAGTTTGGCACCCACACCTGGTCAAACACGTCAAGAAATTAGAGAAAGTGCAAAAGTTTGCAACAAGGTTAGTTCCAGAGCTAAGGGAAATGTCCTATGAAGAAAGGTTAAGGGAAATCGGTCTGACTACACTGGAGGACAGGAAGGTCAGGGAAGACATGATAACGACAACAAAATACTGCGTGGAATAGACAAGGTGGACAGAGACAGGATGTTCCCGAGATGGGACACAGAAACAAGGGGTCACAATTGGAAGCTGGAGACTCAGATGAGTCAAAGGGATGTTAGGAAGTATTTCTTCAGTCATAGAGTAGTTAGGAAGTGGAATAGTCTGGCAAGCGATGTAGTGGAGGCAGGAACTATACATAGTTTTAAGACAAGGTATAATAAAGCTCATGGAGCAGGGAGAGGGAGGACCTATTAGCGGTCAGTGAAGAGGCGGGGCCAGGAGCTGAGTCTCAACCCCTGCAACCACAATCAGGTGAGAAATAGGCGAGTACAACTGATTATTATTCCACCTTCCTTTTTTTTTTAACACAGTAGCTGTTTTCCACTGAGGCAGGGTGACCCAAAAAGAAAGAAAAAACTTTCATCATTTAACACTTTTACCATTATTCATAATCACTGTCTTTGCAGAGGCATTCAGATACAACAGTTTAGATGTCCCTCCAAACTGCCAATATCCCAAACCCTTCCTTT